TTGGGAAAACATTGTCACAACTTGTTAACAAGCTTGCTACAAGCCTGTTGCGAAAAATCTTGTTGAGAAGTTGTTGGAACAGCATTGTCACAACTTGTTAACAAGCTTGCTGCAACCCTCTTGCGAAAAATCTTGTTGAGAAGTTGTTGGGAAAACATTGTCACAACTTGTTAACAAGCTTGCTACAAGCCTGTTGCGAAAAATCTTGTTGAGAAGTTGTTGGAACAGCATTGTCACAACTTGTTAACAAGCTTGCTACAAGCCTGTTAAAGAGATATCTTGTTGACAAGTTGTTGGAACAGCATTGTCACAACTTGTTAACAAGTTTGCTACAAGCCTGTTAAAGAGACATCTTGTTGACAAGTTGTTGGAACAGCATTGTCACAACTTGTTAACAAGGTTGCTACAAGCCCGTTGACGAAATATCTTGTTGAGAAGTTGTTGGAACAGCATTGTCAAAACTTGTTAACAAGCTTGCTACAAGGCCGTTGAGGAAATATCTTGTTGACGAGTTGTTGGAACAGCATTGTCACAACTTGTTAACAAGCTTGCTACAAGCCCGTTGAGGAAATATCTTGTTGACGAGTTGTTGGAACAGCATTGTCACAACTTGCTAACAAGCTTGCTAGAAGCCCGTTGACGAAATATCTTGTTGACAAGTTGTTGGAACAGCATTGTCACAACTTGTTAACAAGCTTGCTACAAGCCTGTTGCTAAAAGTCTTGTTGACAAGTTGTTGGAACAGTATTGGCACAACTTGCTAACAAACTTGCTACAAGCCTGTTGCTAAAAGTCTTGTTGACAAGTTGTTGGAACAGCGTTGTCACAACTTGTTAACAAGCTTGCTACAAGCCTGTTGCTAAACGTCTTGTTGACAAGTTGTTGGAACAGTATTGTCACAACTTGTTAACAAGCTTGCTACAAGCCTGTTGCTAAAAGTCTTGTTGACAAGTTTTTGGAACAGCATTGTTACAACTTGTTAACAAACTTGCTACAAGCCTGTTGCTAAAAGTCTTGTTGACAAGTTGTTGGAACAGCATTGTCACAACTTGCTAACAAGCTTGCTACAAGCCTGTTGCTAAATATCTTGTTGACAAGTTGTTGGAATAACATTATCACAACTTGTTAACAAGCTTGCAACAAGCCTGTTGCTAAAATTCTTGTTGACAAGTTGTTGGAACAGTATTGTCACAACTTGCTAACAAGCTTGCTACAAGCCTGTTGCTAAAAGTCTTGTTGACAAGTTTTTTTTGAACAGCATTGTTACAACTTGTTAACAAGCCTGTTGCGGAGAGAAGTTGTTGGAACAGCATTGTCACAAGTTGTTAACAAACTTGCTACAAGCCTGTTGCTGAACGTCTTTTTGACAAGTTGTTGGGACAGTATTGTCACAACTGGCTAACAAGCAAGCTACAGGCCTGTTGCTAAAAGTCTTGTTGACAAGTTGTTGGAACAGTATTGTCACAACTTGCTAACAAGCTTGCTACAAGCCTGTTGCTAAACGTCTTGTTGACAAGTTGTTGGAACAGCATTGTTACAACTTGTTAACCAGCTTGCTACAAGCCTGTTGCTAAAAGTCTTGTTGACAAGTTGTCGGAACAGTATTGGCACAACTTGCTAACAAACTTGCTACAAGCCTGTTGCTAAAAGTCTTGTTGACAAGTTTTTGGAACAGCGTTGTCACAACTTGTTCACAAGCTTGCTACAAGCCTGTTGCTAAACGTCTTGTTGACAAGTTGTTGGAACAGTATTGTCACAACTTGTTAACAAGCTTGCTACAAGCATGTTGCTAAAAGTCTTGTTGACAAGTTT